AATTAATTTCTTTTATATAAATATCATGACCGTTTTGATTATATTTATATTCCTATATATATAACTATTGGCAAAGAATTTATTGCAAAAATAAAATCAACGCATTTTATTCAACTAATTGTAAAAAGAAACTGTTACATTTTTTATTAATTAATTATATTATATATTTTTTAATTACATAATAACTAATATTAACTAATCATAAGTCACACTAAAGGATATAAGAAAGTTTATACATATAAAAATATTTATTTAGTATTTTTAAACTGTTTATTTAAAATAATAATTATTTTTTTAATTCATTAATAATTTTTTTAATAAAAATAGTTAATTACTTTTTATGGCATAACCATATTAATTTTTTATCTAATTAATTGGTCATAATCACTAAAAATTTCTACAATTATATTATTGCAGTCAATATAGTGATTTATATGTAGGTTAAATAGTTTATACTTATATCATTTATATTTACAAACAATAAAATTTATACAATGTGATATACTCATTATTTATCTTACAATTTTAAATATTATATAAATGAAGAATCATGCAATCCATCAATTAAAATGGCGGGACAATACTAGAGTCAGTCAAAAAAAATAAATTAAAATCAATCAATTATTCTTTAAAACTGAGCAATCACTTGGCAATTAAGTTATACAATTAATTACCATTTTTTAAAACCTTATAAAATAGCTGAAAAAATAATAACCAAAACCACATTCAGCAAAAAATACTACTCAGCATGANGCCTTTATGTTTGATAATCTAAACTTCTTGGCAAAAAAAAAGAACAAAATGGCCAAATTCACCATTATTCAACAAGATCTTTGACACAAAGAAAAAAAAAATCAAATTGGTGGATTGGAGTACGTATTCCACGATGTCAAGGTATAAAAATCTTTTCAGGCTCTTTTAACACATACTATTTCAATATCGATTATTTACAAATTTTTTTTTTTAATCGTGTAGGGTCAGCGGATTCACGCTTCAGGCCCGGGTTGCTTGGCTGAAAAATTTAAGAAGTTTAAGATCAATGAGAGTCGTTTTTATGCCATAGAAAATTTTAAGGTGTTTCCCGACCAAAATTATTTGCCATAGAAATTTTATGGGAAATGTTACATGTACATAATAGTGTACATAAGGGTGTACATAACACTCACATTGAGTGAGACCTACCAAAAATAAAAAATTAAGTGGACCCCACTCCATGTGAGTGTTATGTACACAAATGTACATGTAGCATTTCCAAATTTTATACAACAATAATCATTTCAAAACTTTATTCACGAAATAATACAAAAAACATACAAATATATTAACCCAGTAAACAAACAATTCCCATCCAGATCAATAGCTTCTCCGTTGATAAATTAAAAGCATGTCTACGACGGCTAAACAAATCGGAATCGATCCGAGTGTTTGTCTCCGAGGAGAGAAAAAAATTAAAAGTGAAGAAGAAACGGCGAAAATGTTGCACGTGGTATGGTTTCAGACATTAAATACCTGCCTCTACCACCTTCTTGAATGTTCTATATTTGTGTGGTGACTGAAGCTTTGATCGTGCTATATGGGTCCGAACATCCCTCATCAGTGCATCAAACTTCGCATTAAAGACACGACAAATTATATCTAGACGGTCCTCGGGGTTGAGGTTCCTCTCAAATAGGAATCGACTGATTTCAGGCCATTTGGGGTTGCAGGTAAAAGTTATAAATATATCGGGAGAACTGGTACAACGACAAATGGCCATCGCATCCAACGACGAAGGGTGCACTTCAATTGGCAGCCCCTAAAATTCTATTTATCATTTATATTTTCTTTGATTCGTGTACAATTCGATTGATATGTTTTGTTGTCCGAATTTTGAGATCAACAGATACTCGATTAGTTATTAATAAGTTCAACAACCATGTATTTGAATGCAAAATTTTAACCGGTGCTAGAGTTGGTGATTCTTATTCCTAGGCTCAAAATCATACCATCCGATTTGAGGGTACCTTTCAAGTTTCAGCGCAGACAGTTTCCGCTCATGGTTTCCTATGCTATGACAATCAATAAGAGTCAAGAGCAGTATCTGTCGCACAACAGCTTACTACTGAAGAGCCCTGTATTTAGCCATGAACAATTGTACGTGGAACTTTCTAGAGTTACTGACCGGAGGGGTTTGAAGGTAATGATTTGTGGTGAAGATTCTGACGATAGGAAAATCACGAATGTTGTACATAAAGAAGTGTTTAATAATATTTAGATTTTTTTAAAATATTTTTTTTTTCAATGATTATGTTACGATTTTTACTATTGTTTATGTTTTTTATTATTTTATTCTTTCTGTGCA